TCTGCATCCTCCAATAACCAAAATCTGTGCCATCGAACTTTTCGATCCCTGAAATCTTCACTTCGTCTGTAGCCATTGGCTTTGATACCAGTTGTTGTGTTAACTTTGAAATTTAAAACGATCGACGACGAAGTGAAAAATAAAATGACACGAGAAAAATCACACCAGAAAAGAACACACAGATTTACGTGGTTCGGCAAATTGCCTACATCCACGGAGTTGCAGAGGATTTTACTAATTGAGGAATTTACACCGTTTGAACACAATAATAATTGTAGGAGAAAGTCTCACTTTCTCACTCTCTTCTTTTCTCTACACCGAGATACACCGAAGAGCACACCTTGCGATTCTACTGATTCGTATCCTTCAGCCCGTAAGTCTTCTTCCCCGTGCTTTGCGATACTTCCTTCACCAGCAAACCAACGCAGAACAGAGGAAGAATGAGGGAGAGCCGAATCTTGCTTTTCTTTACACTTGAAGTTCTATCCAAGAAGCCAAGAAAGAAAAAAACCATTCCAGCATATTACGTGAAGAGAAAATAAAACCACTTAAATATAACCACCTACAAGTTGCACTTTTTATCAAATGTAACTTCCTTTCAAACCACTTAAATATAACCACCTACAAGTTGCACTTTTTATCAAATGTAACTTCCTTTCAAACCACTTAAATATAACCACCTACAAGTTGCACTTTTTATCAAATGTAACTTCCTTTCCTTCTTTAATGGTGGCGGGACCCACCTTCCTTAGGCACAAGCAAATAGGCGGGAGTAGTTTCAGAAATGGCAAAAAAGCATATATATTTATTATATTATAACTGGGCTCCACACTCAACAATGATTTGTTATTTACTCCACATTCTTATAGTTATATCTATTGAGCTTGATAAAAACTTGGTGATTTTGTTTAATTTCTCAACGTAATTCCAAGTTCTCATAAAAACAGTTTTTTTCTTATGTTAATATAACTGAAATATTATCATAACCTTAAATCATGTTCTAGTTGCCATATTAATCTAATAATTTTCACGCCCCCTGTATTTTTTGCATCATTTAGACATAAGTCAGCCACTTTTAATAAAATTAAGTATTTGTTAGATTCCTGTTGTAGGCTATATGTTGCTTTTCTAATTTTTGATTTGCTCATCTGTCCTAGTATTGTATATTCAAACCTGTAGTACTAATTAATTTTGGCTTATTAGTTAGGAATCTTAAAATTTAAAGGAAATTATGTTAGTCATGTTCATCATGGATGTTGTTCATTATTACTTGTTTGTATTGTAGTATCCTATATGCTTATTTATAAGCCCAATATATTCAATTAATGACCAACGGAAGTCTCCTTTTCTCAACGTGGTATTTGCAGAGGAATACTCTTGTCATCCTCTTAATTGATTATGTTCATCTTGCTCTTATACATAACTAACATGGTTGCACATGAAAACCCTATGCCCTACCTTGCATGCTTGCTTGCTGCATGCGCTTTGGTGTTGCTACCTGCTCTTAATTGGGCAACACTTGACTAATTAATCTACTTGACATTTTTCGCTTCATCACAAGTCACGCATATGCTTGACCTTGTATTGGTATCACATTATATGAATCAAGTTTATGAACATTATCCCCTTCAATATTTTCAATGTTTTCTCTCAAGGTGGCCTGGTTGGTGAAATAGAAAACAAGCCTTAGGAAAAATTTTCGGGCTAGAAATGTTACTTCATTTTGGACTAGGTGGGATGTTGGAGAACCCAAATATAATTGGTTTGGCGTGTTAATGCATTTTCAGTAGAGATAGTACTCTTTAAAGTTTGAGAAATGTTAATGATTGCTCAAAATTTAATGAATTGTTAAACATTTTCGAGTGAGTGGTTGTAATGTAGTGTCATCTCTCCTGTATGTCATTACTTAGAAAACATTTTCCGATCTGTTAGAATGTAATAACAATTTCCCTAATTCATTTGGCATTTCCTTATATTTTTAATTTTTATCCTTGTTTTCTTTTCTCGTGAGAGTTTTGCTTGTCTTTACAAATATTAAATATTGTTTTGTGGTTGCAGTTAAATCGCTAGTCTTAATCTCAACAAGGATAGATGATTACTGTCTGCATCATGTAAACTTCTTTCTTAATAATTGCATGAAAACCCTCTTCAGGATCGTGAACTAGGAACATCAAGTCGCAATGGCCGCGAAGGTTATTATCCTGGCAACAGCAGCAATGCAAGAGTTTCTAATACAATGCTAACTCACTTGGGACTAACTAGAAATGACCAGCTTCCTCGGCCGGTAGAAGAGGCAAGATTAAGGCTTGTAGAGAGACTTAGAAGTGTGTCACTAACAGATAACAGGTTTCTTCCTAATCTAAAAAAATGCATATTTACTTGTTGCTACTAATTCACAACTTAAAAATTGCAATTTTACCCAGGCAAAGAGCTCCAAATGCTCATGTTCCTTATAACGAACCAGCACTTGGTGATGTTTTTAATATTTATAATGTAAACTTGACTCCAAACATTGTGAATACTGAATCAACCATATCAATTAAGAAGAAAATTCCGCCGCATCGCTGGGACGCTTTCTGTGCCGCCAAAGGAGAGACTTTCAGGAACCCTGAGGAGAAATATGAAGATGGAGTAATGGCTGCACCGACTGAATGTTGCATATGTTTGGAAGGATTTAGAGAAGGAGATAAGCTTATCAAATTACGTTGCAGTCATAAGTTCCATCCTGGTTGTTTAGAGCCATGGGTTCGGTCTTCTGCTGTTTGCCCCTTATGTAGGGCAAATATAACGGAAATTTGATAATCTATGTAATGTTCTGAGATAGTTAAAATGCTTCTTAGGTTTTGGGTCTTGTTCTTAGTTTAACTGAACAGTGTGCTTTTTAGGTTTTGGGTCTTGTAGGGCAGATTTAACGGAAATTTGATAATCTATGTAATGTTCTAGAGATAGTTAAAATGCCCTTAGGTTTTGGGTCTTGTTTTTAGTTTAACTGAACAGTGTGCTTTTTGTGTGAAAATAGAGATGAAGACCAGATATTTGGATCTGGCAGAAACCTTGTTATAACTTGTATTTTTTTTTCCTTTTGATAGCTTTTTGAGTGTACGATTGATCAGACGAAGAATTAATGTCAAGAGTTCAATATTGTTATTTTTATCTTAATTTTAATATTTGCTAGAAGAAAATCACTTCTGTAGTTGTAAGATAACTTTTGCTATGAGCATTTGACATGTGATTTATAGCATATATGTTGATTAAATCAATTATATCAAATGCAATTGAGAGAATGAGTAAAATGATATCCAATTATTTGCTGGGTTAAATATGAATCAAATAGTTTCAGGGCGAGATTTTTGTTTCTATATTAAAGAATGAGGAATATTTTAGTATTTATTCTAGTGCTGAACCCAAGAGCAACGAGTGAATGGTAAATAAGCATCTAGCCATATCCGAGAGATCTTGATCACTTCATTTCCTTTTGAGTCTTTTTTGGTGTAAAGGAATGCAGGGGCATTGTGGTAATTCGCATTATACATGAAATTAGACTAATAAATAATTATTAGTCGTGGGTAACATGTTTATCATTTGTAAGCTTGCTCGCTTAGCGATCAAGGGCCGAATAGCCCAAAGATGGTGCGAAAGTTTCTCACTAAAATTTTCTCATGATCTCTTCTTAGATTCTGGCTGGTCTCACCTTGTTTGTCGACGACAAAAAATCCTTTGCTCGGCCTTTTCCTCAGAAGTCCCTCGCCCTGCTTTCATGTTAATCGGCTTGCTAATTAGGCTGACGGCCAGACAGAGCATTCGTGAAGTTCTCCTGAATCGATCATCTTGAATACCCATCTTAGTTTGCTGATCTATTTTTGTCGCATCTTGATCGAGGTTCCAATTCATTTGTTGAGCTCATTGACTTTGCATCAAGATTCGTGCCACCATGTTGAGAAATTAGGTCGAAGAAAAATAAGAATCAACACAAATTCAGAAGTACACACAGAGATTTACGAAGTTTGACAAATATGCCTACATCATCGGGAGCAGAGCGGCGACCTCCTTTTCAATATTAAGAAAAAAGTACAAAATACAAGATTCAGAATCTCAGAGACTCATCTAGGGTTACAAATATGACATATATATAACTCTATAGTATAAAATGTAATTAAGTAAATTATTCATGTACTGAACCACGGGGTATTGCCCCGCACCGCCAACCCACATAATGAAACTCCCCCGATGGGACAGATCCTTCCTCTCCACTTCTGTCTCATTTATGATATATGAGTCATATCTAACACACCACAATCTAATGTTAGATTAAATTGGATTTTTTTAAAATATAGCATCTTTTTGGGCCCCTTCAAATTGTTAAGGATAATTTTAATTATTCAATATAGTCAGAATAGACGATCAAAATATGTATATAAAGCTCTAGAATATGCATACTTTTCAAAGCTTGCCATTTTCAGACAACTCAACACGATCAGAGAAACTTGAATTTACATCTGAAGTGTAGGGTTCTTGGATTTCTTAAAGCCACCTTGATTTCATTGACATTTATTAGAAAGGCATGTCAGCATTTTCATTTATTTCAAGCTGCAACGTGTTCAAAATTAAATCTAACAAATCCCAGCATTTGTAGATAAGAACAAAAAGAAATAGTTCTGGATAATATATCATCGCCTGAAAAATATAAAATAATAATCAATTTTAAACCACATTCACGCACAGAAAATGGCACAAACCTTAAACCAACTTAAGAATCTGTCCGCAAAACTCAGACTCCTAAAATTGCTGCTGAAATGGTCTCCATAAAAAAGTTATTGTAGTTCTTTATACATAAAAAAAAAACTAGCACGAATCTCAAAGATAGCGAACGACCAAGATTGAAGAGCCTTCTCTCGAGGTAAGCAATCAACCGACAATTCAAGGTAGTGCATGAAGCCGCGTCTTCAAACTCGAGATAAGTTCAAACTCTGAAGATGGTTCCCCGCTCGGTAGCGGCAGAACTCGCCGAAAGTGGGGTTGTAAATCATCCTGGTCCACATAGACTGCGAGAAGATCAGCTTAAGACATTGCAAGATTATGAGATCCGGTCGAGGCAATAAACCAACCAGACATGCTAGACATGAGCCCTGTAAGACTCGAGCCGAATGGAAAATGAGCTACGACTCAATGAAAAAAATTCGATCGATTATTTTCGATTGACCAAGCCTGCTTCCGGACTGAATAACTGTCTCACAACCGACCGCTTTGGTCGACCATGCCAAAAGACACCAAGCAAGATCGTCATGTGGCTGAACACCTCTACCTACCAACGCATATTTCATAAGACACAAATGTCACTTGGCCGGTTGCCTCAGTCGGCTGACTTTAAGCAAGTCGACCATTCAGTTACTGCCAATGTTAAAATTCAAATTGTGATGCAAATATGATACAAAATATATACAATGAAGTAGAGTCTTAATGACATTAGAAATAGTTTACATGTGTACATTTCTTTTTTATAATTGTAAAAACATGTCTCTATAACTAAGAGGCAAGAAGGCTAACACAGAGACTTCTCCCTATCTCTTTTTATTTTCTTCTCAGTTGGCTCTAATTTTTGGGTATGATTCACAAATGATAAATTAAAATCCAATACTTTAATTTTAAAATAGTCCGAAGATTATTTTTACGCTTCTATAAAATATTTAACTAAAACAATTATACATAAATAATTGGGTAGTTCATTCTAAACATTATATATATCAGGATTTATTTTAATTTTTTTTAATGTTTTTTTTATTAAAAATGCATGTTTCGATGAATGTTCGGCCTCCACGTCCCAAGCTCCTCACCGCTTTCTCCCTCCTCCCGCCGCGTCCGTGGTCCATCTGTCCACCGCCTTCAAATTACAGCTGCTCTCATCTCCTGCGCAGAGAAGCTAACGAGAGGGAGGTAGCGAAAGAAAGCGAAAGATGAGTGAAGAAAAGCAGCAGGGGAAGACGCAGGTGGACTCCAAGGGAACGCAGGAGCTCCCTCTGGAGAGCAGTCCGTACGTCAACTACTCGGATCTGGAAGACTACAAGCAGAAGGGTTACGGAACCCATGGCCATCTCGAGCCCGTCGAAAACTCTCGCACCGGCGGTACCACAGAGGGACCGACCATATCCGGCGGCGATCTCGCTCGCTCTCAGGCTGAAGCCGCCGAAAACAAGAACCGCCATGGCGCCGTCTAGTACTCTATCTCTTTCTCTTTGATTGGTGCGGTTAGGGTTCTTCAATTCGGTTTTAGCGCGTCTTTTGTGGGGTTCGTGTTGATCAGTTGATGCAACTGCGTTGATTTGGTGGTTTTGATCTTGTAATAACGGATTTGATGCAATTTGTAGCAATGCTTTGGCGGTTCTTGATGTGTGAGTGGTTTTAGGGTTTTGCTGGATTTAATAAATCAAATATTTCTTAAGATTTTAATTCCAAACATTTATATCGTAAATTATTTAATGAATTTTTAAAATTTGTGATTTGAATGAAGGAGAAGTTGAGCCATAATCATGAGAGTTGTTGCCCTAATATTTAATAAATCTAGAATGATTCCAAAAAATATAATACATAGGGGCTGCGTGGTAGCACTGGATTTCACCAAATCCAACTAAATGCCAAAAAGAAGAAAATCAAATCCAACCTCCCTTAAATTCAATTTTCTCCCGTTCTCTCCGCTCTATCTCCTTTGTCATGTAAATCTGGATTTATCAAATCTTACTCACACGGACTCCACGAATTAATCGCGTGCTTCCCTTATGCTGCCAATTTACTGGATTTCGCGGATTTGATAAATTCTATTAACGTAAATCTACTACAACAACCAAACACCGCCTTAGGGGCTGCCTTGCAATATATTTAGGCTATGTTTGGTTGGAACTTAGTTTACTTTAAATATGATTTATCAAATTCCATAAATTCTGATTCATCAAATCCAGTCTACCGCTGAGGAACTCGTGAGTGATGATTGAATAAATTCGCCTCGCAATGAGAATTATATTTAATTTTTTTTTATTTTTGGGAATTTACATACACAGCATCTAATTGTCATGTATTTTCTTGAACCCAAACTCTTAAGTTTTATGATTGAAGTACCCAACTTATCTTTTTCACTGCTTTCCAACAATGAAATTCACATTTTTATTCATAAATAGCGTGCTGATTTTGTAAAAATAGTGGGAGAAAGATGAATGTAAATTTTCGTTAATTTTTTATTATTTGATTGGATGGCTGAATCGAGCTTGTTTGTCGGTCCGTTCATTCTCATCTTCCTCAAAAGGACAGTCTAGCCCACATACACGAGGGATGCTATCAAAGGAAGTTGACATGTGCACGCAATGTACATATTTTTTTTTACCTTTATTCTACCTTTTTTTTTACCTTTATTCTACCTTTTTTTTACCTTTATTCTACCTTTATGTATGTTTAAATTGTGCTTTGTGGAAGGTTTTAGTGTTTTGATGCAGGATCGAAGGAAGGAAGTCGAACAAAACTTGAAAATTGGCAAATATGAGCTAAGTGGTTTTTTGGCGCCTAGGTGTTTGGACGGGTCTCCTAAATGCCACATATAAGACATGTTCATGTTGTAACCTGAGCAGTTGGAATGTAGACACCATACCGTGATGGTGGGCTTAGCCACGAGAGATTGGGAACCTAGGTCTTGGTTCCTTCCATAATTTGTCTAGAAAACCCGAGAGCTCGTAATGTTAGTGCCGCATCTAAAACGACTAAGCGCTACATTGTCAATGTCTATGCACCATGATCTGGGCGCTTGGGAGCCCGAAGCCCTAAAACAAAAACCGTTACTAGCTCCTAAGCGTCAGCCAGTTGTGCATAGGCACAAATCTGCATAAATTGACAATTCCTGTAGTTTAGATGTGACTCTTCACTGGGAAAAGTATAAAAGTAATGCAAACGATCGGAGAGGAGCTTTTTCTGACATTTTTGAGGTGGAACATCTTAGAAGGCCATAGAAGATCTATAGCTTGCAACTAAGTGCAGAAAATTGAGTTAAGTAGTGTTTGAGAGACTTTGTGCTTGTATCATCAATTGAACAAAGTGAGAAGAAAGTGATAAGTACTTTGGAAAGTTCTTTTGTAATTTGTTTCATTCAATTATTGAAAGGCTTTTTCGTTGCAATTTTTTCACTTACTATGTTTATGTTGGTGAATATGAGCATGTGTAGTGAGTATTTTCTCTTTCTCTAATAAATTCGGGATGTCGCATTGTTGAGTGTGATATTTCTTATGTGATTTTTTGCTTAATCTTAAACGGTGATGATTATCTTTTTGACCTTCTTTTACTTTCATATGACAGAGTGAAATGTTAACAATTATCATGAAGTATGAATTTCAGAAGAGCGTAATGGAACGACTAAGTTAATCACACCAACTTAAGAATTTTGTTTCAAAGTTAGTGCAAAATTTAGGGAGAACTAATTAATTAGGGTTAAAAGTTGAATTTATGGAACTAATCCAAGTTTTCAGCCTAGCTTCATTAGACTACCAGATGGGGGTAAGGAAGAGAGATGCTCTCGTTTGCTAACTGTTTGTTGAATCACTTATTTTTACACTTAATGTTCTACAGAATCAGTTTATGAGAGAATCTCAGCATTTAAAAACCACTTAACTTTCACATGTTGCTAGTATAGGGTTGTTTGACTCGATAATATAAAAGAAGTTGATTTAGTCATTGCGAAAACTTCAACAATTCAGGCAAGGACCAGCAACAATAAATTAGAAAATTTCCTTTTGCAATTTGTCTCATTCCTTGTTGGATCAACACACGGAACTTGTCTTTGTACTAGGATACTAACTTTATCATTTTCTTGGCTTCTACTTCATTAAGAAATGAATTGGTGACTTATATTTTTGGTTCATTTTTTGTGCCCAAATTGATTTTATTTAGCTTATCACATATTGAGTTGTTTTCTTCATCCATCTTTAACAGTGCATCTTTGATTGAATGGTCTTCAAATTTAGCTGATGCTTTTCAAACTCTGTATCAAGTTCATATGTAACATACAAAAAGAAGTTCATATCATCTATGGGCTCAACTGCAATGAACACTACACTTTCTTTTAAATTAAATAAAATTTTTTTATTTTCCCATAATTATTTTAAGAGGTGAGATTCGATACTTGAAAACTATTTTGGCACAACACCACATCAAATAAATTTTTAAACACATGGAGAGTACAAATCAACAAAAAGTTCCATTAATTTTAAAAATGAGCCCTTCTTTAGTTTCTTAGGTGGTTTAGAAATAGAGAAAGAAGATCCATGATGAAACTTAATTTGTGGTCATAACTAGTACAAATTTGTTTGGTAAAATTAGGTTTATGGTCATAACTAGTACAAATTTGTTGATACTTTAATACATTGACTTGATTTAATTTCATTGTTCATTTTTTCTATTTTTCTTTCTTTAAGATAGATTCCAAGCCAATTCTAATAGCTGAAGTTTTTGTTTTCTTCCAACATCTTTATCATCTCGTCCTAATCCTCATCTCTAAGTCTCGACATTGAGTTCAAGTGCTGGAGAAGTCTCCACTTCCTCGTTGCAAAGTTAAATTCGTAGTTAAATTCTATTAAAGATATGGTAACATCACCGCACAGCACTCGAATTGAAGAAGGGTTTAAACTTACCGGATGGTGTTCTGAGATTTGATGAATCTGGATTTCGCCGGTTTCGGCAGTAAACCTAGGATTGACCGCTAAATCCTTCTTGTCGGCGGATTTCACGTGCGATAGAGCGCGACACGGGGTTATCTCTTTAACGCGGGCTTTGGCTTTCGAGTGCGGAGGGACTCTTCAACATGGAAGAGTTTGAGGGGGAGGATTCAATTTCTAGACTGAAGGGAGAAAACATGGGAGAGCGAGGAGAGGGGAAGTAAAGCAAGTAATACAGAGAAGCTGAGACCGAGATAGGCAGAAAGAAGAGTAAGAGGATATTCTTCTTCGACTGCCATAACTTGACCGGTGAAGTACTTAACTGCTAAAACGAGGGAGTGAGCACAGAGAGTCGCTCTCCGTGGGCCTTCTGCTGCATTTTCGGCAAAGTAAAATTTCATTGGTAACCCCATTTATTTTCTAAAATTATAAGGATATTGTTGATCGTCTTGGTGGGCCGGGATACACAATAAGTTACCACTGGAACTTCCCGATCCGCATTGCATTTTTTTTCCAATGTTTGTATAGTTAGATGCACTGATTATTACTATTAATATGCAGACAATTAAAATGTTTGTATAGTTAGATGCAATGATCATTTGGTTGCTTGAAGACATAAAATTTGTTTTAGAAAATGATGCTTTTATTGTCATTTTCTTTGGCATGTATTCACATATGAGAGATATTGAAGGTGTCTATAAAATTTTAAATCAAAATTCATTATTATTACATCCAACGAAATAATAGAAGCTAATATACTTCTTGCTCTTCCAGTAAGTATGTTAGAATTAGATAATTTGTGTGTTGTCATCTAAGTTGACTATATAAATTATTCTTATGTAACACGAGTGCTACTTTGAATGTGTGCACCAAGTTCCTTGCATCTACCCCAAGCACTTTAGATAATTTATGTATAGGCATTTGAGCTAGTTGCACAAATTATTTTTAGGTAATACATGTCCTTTTTTGAATTGTGTTTGATAACCATATACTTTTGCCTTTTTTCAAACGATTATCTATCTCTTGTTTCTATGAAGATAATAAAATGTTGAAGCTATTCTACTTTTATTCTAGATGTAAACTGTTTGTCTAAAATCTTAGTATGTATGATATATGTTCATATAGTTTATTATACATTTTCTTAGTCATGGAGATGTAGTGTGGTTGCCATTCTTTTGTGAGGTAATGTCTATATTTTTCTTGTGTTAGTCCGGATCATTCTACATTGAAAGTTATATTCTTATTTATGGAGAATAATTTGGAACAATAAAGGCAAAAGTACGGAGTCACAAAAAAAGAACAACTGCACTCACTTTGTAATTTCCCTCCTAAGTGGCGACTTATTTTGAAGTTGGTTGTAAATGAATTGAATCAATCCAGAGTACTATTTTTAGGGTCCTACAATTAGGGAAATGCGATAGCAATAGGAATTTTTCTTATCTACGCCACCACTGTTACACACTTCTTTCTCACTTTTTCACTCATATTTATTCAGTTTAAAACAGTTGGTTTATCTTCCAAATAAATACCCCCAAATTTTTGAAAATGACTCTTATTTATATTTTGGAATATGTCTCCTGTCAAGCTGAAGGTATTTTTTTCTCATGTCTTTGGTGGTCGTTCTTCCTCTTTATCGGTTGTTATATTGTCCTCCTCCCAACAACTTACTTATTTTCTTCGAGACTGACCTTGCACTCAGG